CATCCTGTGTTTGGGTCTGATCACCTCTCAACACAGAGCCGGGTCCCTCAGTCTCTGGAACAGAAAAATAAAACTGGTGAAGAGCAGAGGAACACAGTTTAAAAAAATATGTTTTATTGACTTTGTCTGTATTTGGCGGAAAATGAGTTTCCCTACTGAGGATCGATAAAGCTGTCTAATCTAATCTTTATGTAGAAGCTCTTGATAGAATAGCAGATATATTCACATCCACACATTGAAGGGATGGTTTCCACATTTTGACGACGTATGCAGACTCGGGACATGCTCCGTTATTATTCTACAGGAAATCCTCTGAAGTCAAATGTTTTTCTTTGCACATAATGTCAGGACAGGCACAGCAGTAATGTGCTCAGTAGGAAGACCAAGCAGAAGAGATACTGGGTCCAGTGCACGCAGTTTAACATGCATTTGTAATTGTTATAATAGAGAAAAATAAGGTCTTTCTCCGATCAATGCTCATATACATGTTAGACACTTTTCTCCAGACTCAGCTGATCACATGCAGCAGTCAGAGGTGCGCAGATGAAGCTTTGTTGCTGGAGTGTGATTGGATGCTTTCAGGGCGCGACCTTCATTTGTTGCTGTTGTGTGTGGAGCAGACAAATCAACCTCTTAACTGCCACAGCATTATCTGCCTCTCCATGTGGCCGGCCAGGCAGTAAACTAATACAGGCCGCAGGCTGCAGGGCTTAAGAGGGAAAGGTTGTGTGTGCTTAACAAGGTGATCATTCCTGGGATTCCTTCATGTGCTTGAGTGACTCCAGCCAGAGAGACTGCTGGGAAATAAAAGGCCCAGCAGCTGAGAACAGACAGATGTATAGAGCTGTTCAGGAGCTTTAGAGCAGCTTCGCTGTTTCACACGGATCTCTCTGTCTCACTGATTCACAGAGAAAACAAGTTCTACGAGTCTTACGAGGATCCAGAAACATCTCAGAGATTAAAAATAATAATTGCTGCTCATAGTTTTTGTGTGTTGCAGTACTGTGCTGCCCCCTAGCTGCAGCAATGGTCAACATGCATGTGATAAATAGATTGATAGCTAGATAGATAGATGGATGGATGGGTGGGTGGGTGGATGGATGGATGGATGAATGGATGGATGGATGAACCCTATATGGCAAAAATAAATTAAAAAATAATAATAATAATAAAAAAGAAAGAGAAATTTAAAGTTTGACAAGTAAACTGAATGGAGTAAAATAATGAGGATTTGTTCTTTTGACTGAATTCTTCTGCAGAGGCACATCTGTGTTTCATTAGTTTTCTTCTGGCTTGAGGATTTGATAGATTTGAGGATTGATTCGAAACAGTGAAGGATTTCTAATGAAGGAGCGATCATGTGATGGTTTGTTGGAGTGGAGGCTTGTTTCTATCACCTGTCAGAGCTCTGCAGACCCACAGGGACATGAGGGTGGGGTCAAAGTCTCCCACACAATCAACCTGTTTACCTCTGAAACACTTTCATTCTGACGATGGTGAGATTACCATCACAGCTTTATGAGTGAACATGATTTGGTTTCTTTGTACACAGATATGGTAGACGACCTGTTTGTACGTCCAGACCCCCTCCCATCTTAGGGGCTCTATTGTCTGAACTTAACAGTCACATTCCTATGCTTGTTTTTAGACCAACACCCACGACGTTTGGCTGTGTTTTGGTTTTCAGAGACACTAACGAGATGAATCCGGCTCAGAAACACCAAGCTGAACACTCAGTGGACGCCTGAGGCAGTGAACATGTCAGTGCAGCAGGATCAACCTGCTTTCAGCTGCTGTGTCACTGGAGTCACTGTCAGTGACAGAGGACGTTTTCACATCTTTCACTTGAGTAATTTCGGATAGAAATACTCTCCAGTTTTGAGTCCTGTTTACCTAAGTTAATGATGTTTAATTAGCAAAATGTACTGAAAGGATTAGTGTAAGTGGAAGTATATATCTGCGTGTTGTTTAATTCATTATTAGATACTGTTACTTGATGTTACCATTTTGTATTTTGCAATTCTAGGTATTTTATTTATTTCATTTTATTTTATTTTAGGAAAATAGTTTTCAGATAATGTAATTTGTCAGCTTTTCATATGTTTACTTTGTAAAATCTTAAATCTGAAAAGTAAAAAGTAATTGTTGAGTGAGTATTTATGTAGTGGAGTAAAAAACAAAATATTCACTTCTGAAATGCAGTGGCATAAAATAGAAATACATCAAACTACACAATACCTGCGGACGCTGTACACAGTACCTGGTAGAACCCATGTACCGAGGCTTCCGTCCTCCATAGGCTGCATGTGTCCTCACAATGTACAGTAATTGAGTAAATGTACTTAGATAATTACCACTACTGAACTATGTGTTTTATCGCAGCTGAGTCATTTATTGAAGTATCAGATGAATTGATATTTTATTTATATTGGTGTTTTCAGAACAGCATTCAGAAATGACAGTACATTCTTCCACCAAAGCAAAACAATCCTCAGATTCAGATCAAACAGAGGATCAGCAGATTTGTGTCACATCAGTAAGCAAAACTTTTCATAATAAGTTGAATTTTTAATGCATCATAACAAACATACCTCAATTATCATAGATCTGATTTATAAAAGAGACACAGAGGGAGAAAAAGACTTAAGAAAGTTGTCCATCATCTTAAAGTCCAAGGTTTCACAAACAATGTTGACAAATTCTGTCTGTGACGTGTATTTTAAGTTTGTCACAGTGCAGCTTTGTGAAGTTGTGTCATTGTATCACAGCAGCACATGTATCTGTCAACAGTTGTAATGGCTCTTCTCTGTCATCAGTCACTAAAACACTGGCCAACTGAAATTCCACAGAAGGATGTTGTTGTTGCTCTCAACACCTTTTTCATTGTGAAACAACTGGTCCCAAACAAGAGAGAAGCTCAGATAGTTGTACTGCAACATGCACACAGCAAATAAACAATTTTATACATGAAGTCGTAATTATCGCCGTAAGCAGATACTAAACTTAATACTATAAATTAAAAACTCTCCATTAAAAGTGTTGCATGGAGACTACTTTAATTGTTAGATCTTTACTTTAATAAAAAAATGTGTGAATGCATAAAATTCTGAGACTTAAGAAGCTGAAAACATGAAACATCTGACATACTTACATGAAAAACAACTGAAACAACTAAAACTGAGTTACCAAACTAGTACTGATCATGAACTTTATATCTTTAATATGTTAACGTGAGGAGTAACTTGTAACACGACAAAGAGTATAAGATGATTAAGCCCTGATCAGTAGGTGCATACAGTCTAATGAAATGAAAGACTCAAACAGAATCCTCTTACTTTATTCCTAATGTCTACATGTTGTTCATCTGCTTGTTGGTTTTTATTATGACATCCAGCAGCTTTGTTATGGAGGAAAGTGAATGAGTTTGAATTTAGTCATATGTGATATTTAAATCTTCCTGATGTTGTGAAACTGACCACAGGAGAATGAATCAAATGCAGAATCCAGAGCAGATAAGAAAAAGGGTTGATACATGAAAATGAGAGTGGGTTTCCATGACATTGACTTTGACGGAGGCCTGACTGAGACTCTCTCTCTGATTGCAGAAGCAAAGAAACACCATTTGTTTGATGTCTGGTTACTCATTAACTCCTCAGCCCAGTAAAAATACCTTTCACATTGTCCTGAGAATTTTTCTTTTCTTTATATACTGACGTCTTTTGACGATATAACAGCGGAGCTCTGTTGAAGGACACTTTACAACCGATCGACTTTCTTGACAGGCAACTTGATTCTCTCCCTGCTCTGCGTCTCTGGTTTCTATGAACAGGGAGTGACTGCAGGTCATTCATACGAGGAATGTGATCTGCCTGTCATGATGTTGTGTGTCGGCTTCTGTCAGGTATTTGTCAGGATGGTAGGTTTAAACTGGTGTGTATGAATAATACTGCAGTTTTCAGAAAGAACAATTCAACACATTCCTCCGTTTCATTACTATCTTACATCAACAATATTAATAATTTATTGGCCAAAGCAACTCCTGTATGTGAGACAAACCATTCACTACAAGTCACTATAACAAAAGCCCTGCATTCAAAATGGTGGAATCTGAAGAAAGTGCTGATTATGTGAGATAAAAGTGTTGTTTTTATATTTTTTATATCATTTGATCATAATTATGTATTATTGTGTTTTCACCCCTGTCCGTTTGATTGTTAGCAAAATTACACAAAAATGACTTATTAATTAATTTCCATGACACTAGCAGATCTGGACCAGGAATTCTTCTGTCACTTTCTCTAGCATTGTGAGAAAAGATGTTTTATTGATATTTTTGTTGATTTCTCAGAGAATGATTCATGGTTGTTGAGGGAAAATAAATCTGAGCTGTTTAGGGAACTGATATATATGAGCGTGTGGAATGTAGTGCAGCTTGATTGAATTTTTGGAAACTGTTGGGCCTTGGTGGCGGTATGTGCTCTGCTGAGTGCCATGATGTAATAATATGAAAAATACACATAAAACATTGTATTGAATAAAACCTTTGTATAATGTTTGATATTTTAATCTGTAATAATTTATTATCGGTCACATTTTTGTGACAGTGTAACTATTACTGTCCATTAATGTTTAAAGATATAAAAGATGTTCCAGACTAAAGGTATAAAGTAACATAAAGTTAAGTACAAAAACCTCCCATTTAACAGTTCTGAAGAATATAATATTTAGTTATTTCACCCACTGCAAAGTGCAATCTTTTGATAAAAGAACATAAAGTAGTACAAGTAGCAGAAATACATTTTGCAGTTATCAGAAACATGCAAAACAGGAAGATACTGTCCAGCTCCTTGAGTGTGAAGTTCACAGTGAGACGTAGCTCCGCCTCTCAGCCACCCCTGTAGATAACAAGTGTTCCACCTGTCCCAGGACCCGCCCTGTGAGAGACAAGGGAGGCAGGTGAAATGTGGCCCAGCAGGTCTGATGAGAAAACTAAAAGAGACACAGGGAGGGTCAGGGAGTCAGGCAGAGAGGGAGCTGAGAGACTGACAAGCCTGTCAGCCCAGTGGAGTAGATGAGCCGTCTTCCTGGAATCAAGACAATGACATATTTGTGTTTGTGTTGCTGAGTGTGGGTCTGGATTGCACCTCAGGGCCCTGTGGACTCCCACCACCAGAAGCTCCACCAACAACACTACTACCACCACCAGCAGCAGCAGCAGCAGCAGCAGGTTCGACAGAGTGGAATTTCCCCCCTCTCTCTCCAGGCTGGGGCTGGGGGCAGATGGTCGCTCTCAGACTTTGAACAGGACTCAGGAAGGAGAGTGAGAGGAGAGGAAGGGTGGGAGGAGGGCTGGACAGGGAGAGAGGAGAGGAAGAGAAGTGAGGAGTGGACAGAAGGGGAGACATGCTTCGCTACGGTTCAGGACGAAGTGTTTCCACCACCACCACCACGACAGAGGAATCTCCAGACTCTGAGGTAAGAAGTCCCAGAGAAGTCAGGACATTGAAACTCTCCCTCTGTCAATTATTTTCTCCTCCTCTGTGTTTTGAAAACAGCTCAGTGGTTTTCCCCTCCTCCTCTGTTTGTCCCCTGTTGCATTGACTCTGTGGATTTTCTGTAAACTGTGAGACACATTTCTAACTTCCAGATCATTTTTTCTGTTCCCTGATCTTGTGAAAGTGCATGTTAGTTATGGGATGTGTTCACTAACAGGAGCCTGTAATGGGAGCTGAGTGTGCAGGAGGCTGTCATGTTTATTTGAACGGCTCTCTGATAAAACAGGCCTTTGTACTTTCAAGTTATCCCCATTGTTTGTAAATGAAGACACAACCTATTCATATTTTTAATCTGAGAATGATATGAGGAGTATAATGCAGTCATTTTGAATAATGTCTTAAAATGAGATATTTCAAAATACTGTAAAAAAGTTTTTGCATGGTACAGAAACCAAACACGTCTCACAGTTTCTGAGCATTTGCATGAACTTTGTTTGCAGGTCTGTTACTATTTCCTATAAATAAAACACATTGTGCTGCTGTTTTCATGTAAACTCTTCAACGGTTTCTCATAGCAACGCACTCAAAACAAATATGAATGTGCTCGCAGATCATTTATTTGCCTTTTGTGTGTTTGTTGTTCTCAGAGGAGGATCAGACGTCTCAGGTTAACTCTACATGCGGGAGACAATGGCAGCAACGAGCCAAAAACAGCAAACTCAGACACAGTAAGTCACATATCGGGCTCTCATTGAAACTCTATTGATCAAGCTGCATCCTGCACATGAATCTTTCCCGAGAGCTCGATTCAGATAAATACACGATTAATGCAAAGAGGTAAACCTGAAGTTAAACCAAGTGAATGTGTGTGTCTCTCAAAAATAACACATACATTCATGATACCTGGAATGAAAGATGGTGCAGCATCTGAGATTTATTTATCATCTGGTGTGGTTAGATAATGTGTGTGTGTGTGTGTGTGTGATAATGCACAAACAGCTGTTTCAAATTTACTTCAAAACTCCTCCATGACTAGAAAAGATTAAAAACAGTCTCAATGAAACACCTGACAGCTCAGCTGAGACTGTTTGAACACACTCTGGTAACTCTGGTAAAGTTCACTGGCTTTTGCTCAAAGTCCAGAATAAGTCTGACTGTATCCATGTCTGTTGTTGCACGCTGTGTGAAATGGTAATTGTGAGTCCACGCTGCAGGCAGTGTTGGTGTTTGCTGTAGGTGGCTCTGCCCCGCTCTTTGTTTGTGTTAAGGATCTGTGGTCCACAAGCTGATGCCAGAGTTTGTCAGTGAGAGTGTGAGAACTGAGAGTGATACTACACTTGTTCTTGGCCCTGACAAGGTGCTTTTGGTGCTTGCAATTACGCAGGATCCTGACAGAGGTGGGGTGGCATGTTTTGAATGAACCTTGGCCAAGAAGTGTGGTGTTCGTCAAGTTGTCACAACTCCACTCGCTCCACAGATAGCACGCTGTCCTAATCTCTGACAGGCAGGGCGTGCCCACTACTATTGAAACTGATGACAGAGGACAGAGCGGTCAAGAGCGCACACAAAAGTGGAGAGTATCGCATGTGCTTGGTGATGACGTGTACTTCAGTGTGTGTTCAGTGAGGACGCAGTTCTCGGGCCTGTGCAGACATTGTGTCTCTGACGGTCATCAGCAGAGAGGCTGTTTTTACTGTCAGTCGCCTCAGGGAAAGTGAAAATAAAAAGAGGAAATATAAAGTGAAAGTAAAAATGCTGCGTTGAATATGAAACTGAATGGTAGGAAATGGAGGAAAAAGACCACTTTGGTAAATTTGTGTAATAACTTTGTTGGCGAGAAGATCAACACCTCTGAAATGAAGCTACAGGCAGCAGCTTGTTGAAATGAAGGATGGAAATTAGCTTTAAATAAAGAAACCATTGACTAAAGATGGATGACATGACTGCTCACCAAAGTGAAGCCGAAGCGTCTTAATCACCACCTGGTGGCTGGCTGCGGTATAGGTAATAAATCCCACCTCCACCATGATAGCAGATGGGACATGGATTACTACTCGTATCCAGTATTTGTTTTTATGGTTTGTGCAAATGCAACAGAATCAATGACCAGCAACTGTGAAGGTCACTTGTTAACACTTATTGTTTCTTTTTATCTTTAAAAAGAAAGAGAGAGATGATCCAGACCGGCTGTTTCTCTGTCCCTGTGCTTAGCCAGGACCACTGTAGTTACACTTTTATAATCAGTCTTCTCATCTAACTCTCATTCTGCTTTGGAATCCAACCATTACAAATCATTTCACATGAAAATATTCACAAAATCATGCAAAAGATAACTACAGAGAGGTAGGAAATCCCCTTACAGAGGAATTTACAGAAGAATATCAGTTTTCAGGAGTTTAAAAACTCACCTCTCTGCGTCCTCTCAATCATAGATTGGATCTTTAGCGAAGGTCAAACGTAGGTCACTTGGGTTGAAGCAAACAAACAAGGTAAAGTGAAAGTTAATCAAAGAGGAAGGAAGTGGCTGATACATCCTCTGACGGAGATAAGCAGAGATATTACGTGTCAGTAGAAACTCTGGTTAATGTGGTTCTAAGAAATGATAGGGTGTGTTCCTGCAATCTGAAACATCACAGACACAATCCAACCACTGATGATGGCCTAGATGAGAGGATCTACACCATCACACACAGGGGTGAAAGGCACAGTGGCTGCATTTACTGTAGATGTTTCTCCACCTGCAGTATTAGACTTAGTCCGTACAATGGCTGAATGTCTCTTTAAAGTGAACACGACTCATCTCAGAGCTAATCCAATCAGTTGACTGCTTCACAATGAAGTCATTTGACAGAGCTAGTTCATTTATATACGACACAGAGAACTGTTTGACAATGCACTGACATTATTCCAAATGGACGTTATTCAGGTGCACGATTCAGTTGGTGACGTTGGTGAGCAGGTTACGAACAACACAAAAGGAACCCTGTGTGCTCTTTACAACAAAATGACTGTGCTGTAGTGCGCACTGCAAAAACCAGGTAAACATTCTCCCACAGTTTAGTCAAACACTGTAAAATCCAAAGCTGAATGGAGAGAACAGAGAGCTTTTATAAGCTTGGTAACTTATAACTTAAATATGACTGTGGAGAGGTTCTTCCCTCCCATCGGCTGGAATTCTCGTCCACATGTCAGCGTCTCTCTGCAGAATGTCCTCTGTAGATTGAGCGGTGAGGCTCAGCTCCGTCCACAAGACAACACTGGCGTCTTTGTTCTGGTTTCTCCTCATTCTTATCTCTGAGAGATGTGGAGGCGGATGCTTGTTTCTCTGGTAATAGATCTGAATATTTAGTCTGAGTAGAGGCTTTTAAAAAGTGTATATCTATCCATCCATCCATCCATAACCAAATCTTTCACATACATTTAGGAAAAACTACAGTGTATATAATGTGACTGCAGGATATATAGATAAAAGGAGGGTAAAACAAACATGCAAAGGAAAAATGAATAGTAAGAGGAAGAGAACAAACATGAGGGAAACTGTGTTTGCATGACCCGAAGACAAAATTCTTTGCTAATTATTAGGTGTCTGTGGTGTGGAATGCTTACACAAAATGATAAATGAGTTTGGAGCATTTTGTACCTTTCTAGCGTCCATGCACAACATCAGTCTTGAATATTTGCTGTTGTTGTTTTGTGTGCAGGCTCAGAGAGAGAAAGACGTCAGTGGCGCCTGGAAGAAGAAGAATGGGCTGATCCAAAGAGAGAGGCCAGCTGGCAGGGAGTCACCTCAGCAGGTAGACAGCCACATGCACCACATGAGTAATAGGCATGACATTGCGACACATGTGTGTCACTGACACGCCTCTGTAAAACATGACTCTGTGCATGTACTCCCAGACTGTCATTAATAATCTTCTCATGGATATTCAGCATGAACAGATGTTGGAATAGGTGTTTGAGTTTGAGACTTAAATATTCATCCTCACAGGTTCAGGAAAATGAATGTTCTGAGTGAAAATGAAGAACAGACAAAATAAAATATGCACAAAATCATCATCAATCATCTGGTCCCTGTTTCTAAAATGTAAATATTAGATTTTTGTTTGCCTTCTATTGTCTAGTATTTTTTTAAGTTTTAGGCTGCTTGTTAGACAACTAAGAACATTTTAATAAGTCAACTTATTAGGTATTAGATGCAGCCCTGACAAATAAAATTCCCTAATTATTTAAAAATATATTTCTTTGCCTTGTGCCTCTCTCTTTTAATTGAAGTATATATTCTTATTGACTTAACTCCTAGGCCGTAAGTCGAAAAGCCAAAGTTGTCATGACAACAATAGTCATTTGTTGTTTAGTAATTTCATTGTGTAAAGTGCTGCTCGGCTCCTGAGCTGCTCTGCATCTGTTTCCACCGGTGTCCAGGCTGTCAGAGGTACAATAGGCAGAAACGGCAGCAGCTCATGTACTGGGTTGCAGAAACATGACACCTTCAATACACCCTGTACTTTTCTAGCTGTTTGCTGCCAACCTACTGTTTCCAGTGCTCAGCAGCAGTAGTGCTGGAAATACCTGATCAAGTTTACATATGCAGGCATGAGCATCTGCACACAAACATGTGATCCGCCTGCAAGGTTGCATGTCTGTACAGTAAAGGCATACACACACACACACAGATACGCAGACACAATGACAGTCTTGGTGTGGTGGAGGGGTGGCGCTAGAAACCTGACCGGTGTGATCCTGTCTCCCTCAGCACCTCAGAGACACGGCCAATGGGGTGCCAGAGTCCTCGGAGCAGCATCATGGGCCCAAAGTGTACGGCGTGGTGCAGAGGGCGGGCTCGGACAGACAGCAGGAGGTGATGGCGCGAGAGTGGACGGTCACTCACCTTCACGATGAGATGAGGTACATCAAGGAGGTGAGTGGAGGCTAACACAACAACCACCCAAGCCCTGAGGGGAACACATCATTGTTTCAGCATCACACCAACAATGCAAGGCTGTGTGGGTTGATGCACTGATAATATCTGTATGTTTTGTGTGTATACAGGTGAGAGATTCTCTGGAGAAGGTGAGAGAGAGGATGTACGGGCAGTTTGGAGGAATGCAGCAATCCATGCAGAAGCTTTCACAGGAAATCAGGGTAAGATATTATGTGGCATCATATGACAACTCAAAACTCTTATCAAACTCTCTCTGTCTGTGAGCTGTGAACAAATCTGTATCTCTTTGTTTGTGCAGTCTGCTAACTCACATCGCAGGAGTCTGGAGTCAGAGGTGAGGGTCCGGACGGCGGCCATGGACAGCTTTGACCAGATGAACAGCTCCCTCATATCTGCCAACATCACCCTGCAGGTAAAATATCAATGTTACCAAGCCTGTGAAGACTTGCTGGATGATGGCCACATCCCACCTCAGAAGGGTTGCTTGATGAGTAAAAGAAGTGTCCTTTGCAGAAATCCCTTCTGGAGAACTGTCAGAGCAGAGTGGACACCAAAGAGGAGGTGAAGAGTTTGCGGAGCACCTGTGAGAAAACACAAGAGAAGCTCAGGGACAAAGAGAGGGAGCTGGCCGCTGCGCAGGAGGAAAACCAGACTCTGAGGCTGCAGGTCAGACTGAGGATGCACTCACTCGTTCACACAAACACACATGCATCCACAATGTAAAAACATTCCCGTGGAAGAACACTGCTGTATATAGTTTCTGACAATGTGGCCTCATTCATTAGAAAATAAAATATACCCAACATATTGAAAATGTCCCTTAATCCTAAATTCTGCAGACGAAGGAAAAATACCTGAAAAGAGACAAACCATTTTTTTGACAAGCTGTGATCAGATGTCACCATCAAGATTAGAGCTAAAGCAATAAGTCAATGAATAAATCAGATGCAGAGCTTTTCATAAACAAGAACCTTCTAGAACCTGGACTGAATATTCACACCATGTCATCACATGACTCTTTGTCATCATCCTGATACAGATGCAGCCAGAAAACCAATATAATATTATCTTATTGTTTCATATTTAAAAACAAAAACACACAGACAATTTATTTTATTTTATTTTAAAAAAGAGCTAGAGAGACAGGATCAGGCCAGTTGGAGGCCCCCACAGAGGTTGAAGTAATAGAGAAAGCTGTTTGTGTTTATCCAGCAGATCCTCTCACTGCAGTACAGCAGCACATCATCTGCATCGTTCTACTGTTCTACCGTCTCTTTGACATAATCAGCCGAGCTCAGTTTTATTTCTGCTGCGCTGTGAATCATCCAGGTGGAGTGTTCGCGGGAAGCCAACGCTCAGGCGCTGCAGGAGCTCTCGGAGAAACTACAGAGGGAGCACGATGAAAAGCTGCTGGAAGAACAACAGAAGCACAGGGAGGAGATTGAAAACCTGCAGGTCTGCATTCTTGTCTCCTCTTGTCATAGTTGTGCATCAGTTTCAATGACAATAGAAACCAGAACATTTTACACAGACAGAGTCTAATAAAGATATGACTGAAATCTATATGTCGTCACACAGGCACAACTGGATGAGTACATCAGGCGACTGGAAGATGCAGAAAGACAAATCAGGACTGCAGAGGCCAAGATCACTGAGAGGGACCAGAGGATCATTGAACTGGAGCGTCTGCTGGACTGTATGGGCAAGGTACGATTCAACATGACAAATAACAAATTCTTTTTAAGAATGTTTGCATGTTTGTGACAGTTCCCTCTACATACTCCTTCTTCCTCCTGCAATTAAAAGACATGCAGATGTCTGTCTCTGTATGTTACCTCTGCCATATGCTGGTGACTTGTCCAGACTGTACCCTTGCTCAATAACAGCCGGGATTAGAACCAGGCTGGTCCATGATCAGAGGCTGTGGTACCGATGTAAAACTACTGAAACTTACATAAAGATCCATCTGGTATCAGATTTGTTAAATGCATTACCATCCATCCATCCATCCATTCATCCATCCATCCATCCTTCCATTATCTATAAAGCTTTTGATGTTATGTCACAACAAATGAGAGCAACTGAAATATCCTCCACAGGAAAAGAATCAATTCCAGAAGAAGCTGCAGGATTGTGAACAGCGTCTCCGCTTGATGGAGCTGACAGACACAACTGATTCAACTGTGGCTAAAAGGTACAATTTAAACTCAATGATTAAAAAAAGAATTGGTTCTCCAAAACCCCTCCTACACAACAACAATTAACAAGTATTATGGTCTGTGGGCTGTCAATCATATCATATTCCTCAGTAAGTGACGCTTGGCCACTTTTCGTAGTGTTGTATATGAGGATGTCCACAATCTTCATCTTTAAATTAAAATTGTTTGGTCAAACTTTTATTTCCAAAATCAAGAATAAACTTCCATGCTTCAAAAATCTGATGTCTGCATTATTAAGTGCTGCTGATGCATCACTGTGCTGTAGTTCCTTTTTCCTCCTGAAGTTTTTCATTACCTAATCTCAGAGGCATCTGACTTGGCTGCACATTTCTGTAAAATACAAAAAGAACCCCTCCCTGTCCTGAGTTCATCCCATCTGTGGAACTTAACGGTCGCTGCTCGTGTTCAGGTCCAAAGAGCTGCAGGAAGAAGCAGGGGATCTCCGAGAGAGAATCAAGCATTTGAACGACATGGTGTTCTGCCAGCAGAGGAAAGTCAAAGGAATGATCGAGGAGGTGAGGAGGGTTTATTTTTCTTCTGTTCTAATTTGATGATGAGTGCGGATATGAATGTTAGCTGAAGTAGGAGTTCATTTACTAAAACAACAGAGTGCAGATGAAGTCAAGTGCGCACAAGGAAAATTTTAACTTCAGGCCTCAGAATCAATAAAAGCTTCATGGTTAAGAGGCATGCATGTCCCTGTGTATTTCTAAGGTACATATAGGGGAAATAGAGACAGTGTTAATTCAATGTAAAAATTGCTTTTTCAAAGCAAATATTACTGTACTTCCTATGATTTCCCTGTAATTTGCATCAAGTTTCTTATGGGAAATTATCATAGAATGTCACTCAGTAAAGTTCATTTTGCTTAAATCCAGATCCGCACCACATTTTAATGGGTTCTTCCCTGACTCATATCACATCCTTACACCATTTTTCATGGCAATGTGTCCAGTAGTTTTTGCGTTACCATGGTGACTAATAGAGAAATAAAGACAAAAACATAACCTCCTTGGCGTCAGTAAGTACAGACTCATAACATGAATAATTACTGTCAACGATCCAGATAACATCACAACAATGTATTAGAAGAGATAAGATCATTCATTTCTAATGTTTGCCGTCTTCTTGAATTTTTGAAGGTTGAATCTCTACGAACTCAAGTCGCCCAGAAGGACATGTTCATCTCAGAGCTTCTGGACAGGATAGCAATAGTTGAGTGTGAGGTAAGAAGTCAAACTGTGTGATTACTGTGTGTTATGATTTTGGTGTGGTGTGGTTATCTACTGCATGGCTACAGAGGATTGCCTGGGTTGCTATAAGCGCTGGAGGTCCTGAACTTTCAGCAATGTCTGTGTGTTTTCCTCACGTCACTGCATCTATCAATTCCCTGCAGGCCCTTGCATGTGTCTGACCTGACAGTGTTGTTTCCTTTCTTTTCTTTTCCTAGAATAATGAGTTAGAAGACAAGCTGAAGTATTTTATGTCCACACAGAATAGGCCTCGAGAGGCTTTGGAAACCAGAGAGACAGGAGTAGGCTGTGATTTGCTCCCCAGGTAAGACGCACACATGCTGGAGAAACATGTGTAGTAGCATCAGATTGTATTTGGTGCTTGGTTTGGTGGTGGTTTCTCACCCTGATGTCTGCCTGTGCATCTGCAGACGTGAAGTACAGAGTCATGACACGCTTCAACCAACTCATCTCCATCCAATACAACTCCCACCACTTGTTCTGCCGCCGCCATCAATGAAACCTCCATCAGCCACAAACCCCTTATCACCCACACAATCTTCATCACTCACACAATCTTCATCACCAACACAACCTCTCTCACCCACACAACCTCTGTCACCCTCACAACCTCTGTCACCCACACAACCTCTGTCACCCACACAACCTCTGTCACCCTMWCAATTTCTGTCACCCTATCAACCTCTCTCACCCACACAATCTTCATCACCCACACAACCTCTGTCACCCACACAACCTCTGTCACCCACACAACCTCTGTCACCCACACAATCTTCATCACCCACACAACCTCTGTCACCCACACAGTTTCCACCTTCCCTCCAGTTCTCATCCTCCACACAACCTCTGCCCCCCACACAACCTTTACCCCCTCCACCTCTCCTTCAGCATCCATCCCTCTTTCTGACAATGCCCACCCAACCGAGGACATTCAAGCCAAGTAACCCTCCTCCCAGCAGGCTGGAATCTAGTTTACTGAGATTCACTCCTGTGGAATACAGCCGCATCCTGCTGTCCAACCCCCAGGGTGGGACGTCCCCCTACACCCGCCCGGCTGAACCTGAGCCGCCATTGAGCCCTGGAAGAGACGAAGTGGACGCTGTAACGGACACAAAGTCAAGCTCAAATCCGGAGGAATCCATGTCGTCCCAGGCATCTACTCGAGCACGATCGAGAGCACCTGGAGTTTATACACCGTTCATGAAGCTGATGGAAATCACATCAAAGCTAAAAATAGAACCATCTTAAAGAAATAGTAATATTTATATATATTCTAGATGTTTGTGAAATACACTTTACCTCTTGCTTTGCTGAGTTGCATTAGAAGATTGAGACCACTCCCCTTTTTACAATACCAATGATGCAGTAAATTAGCTTAGCTTAGCATTATGAACATGAACAAAAGGGAAACAGCTGCAGGCTTTGTGCAAAAGCTACGATCAGACTGTAGGCTCAACTGGACCAATCAAAGTTTTCTGCTCAAATAGCACAAGTCACATAAATGTGTTAGTTCCAGTTCACACTGGTGTCTGACGCTGGCCACATTATTGGCACATTTTAAAAATAACATGAACTTCCAAACCAAAAAATCGTATCCGAGCAATCAATCCGAATTGAGCACCATGACCAAAGTGGCCAAAATCTGCATCTCTAAAGCTGTTGGAGGCAGTGAAGTGTAGAACTAGCAGTTTGACAGGTGTTTAAAAAATGTACGTCTGGACAGAGATTAGTCGAATCAATACATTATGAACATGTGCATTAAATATGTCTCTGTGGTTAAAGCCAAACGCAGTTACACATATGAATGTGGTACTGATCCTCTCTATTCCTCAGCAAAGAAAGATTACTTTTTTAAAAAAGGTTAAACTCTCCCTTTAAAACTGAGTAGGCTTTGGTCTGGTTGTATTTAAATGACCATGTGTGACACTGATCTCACTTTTACCAGTCAGAAGCTGACACATGAATGAATCTGTAATACTGTGGAACAGGATTCTGGTCGATGATGAAAAGTCTTTTTTTTCTATTATATTCAGATTCTCTGTGTGCACATAGTACTATTAATTGTGATACATGTTGCAGGGTGTAAATAATCTGATACTCTGTCAAAAAAAAATTGTAAATAACATATTGAAGGATTATAAATATGTTTTGTTTACAGTAAACGTAGCCTACTCGTGTTGCTGAAGCAACTATGACTACTCAGTCAGATATAAAGGTTATTTGGTGTATTTTCCTATTATTTTTTTATTGGCTCTGTACAAATTAAATGAATATTATTTTATTACTGTCACATTATGTACATTATATTTATTAACATGCTCTGTGCCTTTGGGAGTAGCCCGCTGTCTGATACTGGTGGTGGAAATGAATCTCAACAGGGTAACATAATAACAACGATAATAACTGTACATTTCTGTGGTGATGATAAAACTGTTAAATTACTTTAAAATCTATTTACCGTAATTAGGTGACTGCCATGTCTGAGCCACTGGCACAAGTGTTATCCAGCTGTTGACCTCACTGCCACCACTGTGATGTGAAAATACTTCATGATGTGCCTTTACCTTATTACAACATATCAAACTGCAACTAATGAGATGAGGCCGGCAGATGTTTGGCTAATAAAGACTTTACTGTACAAGTATTCTGACTGTGTCAATGGACGTCCCCACTTATACACAATCATACATGAACAGATGTCTGAAGCCATGTAGCCTATATGACTGCCTCATTTTTCAGTGATCTGGGTTGATCTGTTGGAATTAGTGACTAGTGAGAAACACAAAAGCCTTTTTATTATTGGTTTGTAGAGCTTGCATCTTGGATGTTTAATTTTCACACTTTTAGCTTTGAACTCCAGATAAATTCTAATGAAATGTGCAAAAAAATGTCACTGACTCTATTTTCAAGCCCCGTCCTGTGTTCAATATACAGATTATGTGTCTACAGAGCTATTGTTTATTGTAGTTCACAGGAAATGTACAAAGGCCTCAGTGAAAATCTGTAGTTGCCTGGTTAAAACTGAGCTGTTTCACTTTTCACAGCAGTATTCATTATTGTAATTTTATAAACTAATGTAGATTCACTCAGAGTCAGGTGTTTTAAGAGCTTTTTTTTCATTGCCATAAATGTTCTTGCAATTTTAAAGCTGTGTGTAATAAGTTAAAACAAAGTGGTAAAATGTGACATGTGGCAGAATCATGCAGGATCAGGATAAAGCCAACACAGTCTTTTACAGGAAGAAACCTCTGGCAGGACCAGACTCAGTGTATCGAGACCATGTTGCTATAAAGTTGCTGGGTTGAGCGGAGAAAAATGGGGGAGGTGGGGTGAGATGGGTGGAAAGGGGGAAGAAGAGACGGGCCAGGGACAGTTGTGAAACCTTGATGTTTAAGAATAATGGTGGTTATAATGAAAATGATAATAATGTAACCTGTAGATGCAATGCAAATACTATTCAATTCAATTCAAAACAACTTTATTTGTGTCTGGATAGGGACATTCTAAGGCACAAGTAAAAAGAAAGAAAGAAAGAAAACAACAATGACATCAGTGCAATGTCTACAGACAGTTCAAAATGAATGCATTCTAGTTAGTGTTTATGATTGTAGCTCTGGAGTTCATTGGGATTTGGACTGAGTGTGCAGCTGCAGCAGAGAGTCAGACCAACCTTGAATGATGAGAGAGGACAGAGAGGACGCAGCTGTAACGTCCTGGTTCAAGTTCAGGTCATTGTCTGTTGAGATGAGGGAGAAACTTGTTGGCACGGTGGCTGGGAAACATCCAGGCAGGAAATGCAGAGATGGAAAATGTGCTCACACTGACTGAACTGTCTACAGAGAAGAAAGAATCAGCTTGAATGGAGCAGTGCCACAACAAGTACACACTGTAAAGGTCACAACACGCTGGAGTGACAGACTCCTCTTTGAATTCTGTGTCTGAGGCTGATGACGACACTTGACCTACAGGGGGCAGCAAATCACCGCCACCAGTTGGGCTGTGGCGAGAGGAAGAGGTGCACTTCACCAGCCTGCGCGCTGGGGGGCGAGAGAGCTCCGCCCCTCGTGTCTGGTTTCCGGTCAAGAGGAAGAAGCTAAATTTGAAACTCGTGATGTTGAAGAAAACAATCTGCAGCTCGAGGAGGATTCTGAAGCTGCTCTACCCTCAACAGCTCGTTTAAATGGCGGTGGTCGGACTCGGTTAACGTGGACACTCGGTTTTATTTTAATGACGTGTGTTAAACGTTAGTTCCTGCTGCTGTGAATGGCTGTCGCTAGCTGTCAGTAGCTAGCTAACAGTGATGTCGTACACAGAGCGCCAGGGTCAGGTGGGAGACCTGAGGCAGAAGAGCAGAGAGGAGCTGCAGGAGGTGCTGCTGCGGCAGGAGAAGATGCTGTCCGACCAGTGAGTTCACACCAGTAACCACTCAGTGTGTGGCCTCCATGTTTAACTCTCACACATGCTGAGTCACGTGTGGAGGACCACTCCTGGCACAGTGATAGTTCAGTGACAGAGAAGAGAGAGGAAACATGAGTTACACTCGTCTATACTGAGATCTGCTGTTTTCCATCAGTGCAGTCAAGATGTCAGCTTCTCTACTTATATATGTATACGTCTCAGGTTTTTCAAAACATCTGTACTCAATAGCATAAAGTGTATCTGGCGACATTTTGCCATGGATTGAAAAGATGAAATAAAATAATACTTTAATCCCAAGTGAAAATGGTTTTAAACAAGGTACCAGGTGGGATGTTGTATTTTGGGAATTTCCATTGTGGCTTTCGTCAGTGTCTTCTGACTCTTCATGTAATCCCAGGCTGACTCCATGAGACAGACAGATTCAAGATTCAAACCATTATTGTGCTATAATGCCGTATTAATTAGTATTCATCCTTCACTGAATGTAATAACCTCTATAAGAAGACAATACAGATCCAGGTTTTTAAAAAAAAATTTTTAACTTCTTTTTCAAAAACTACAATAACAATACTGTACAGTTGCAGGAGCACAAGTTTAGAACGTAGTAAAAGTTGACCTGTGGTAAATAAAAACAAACAATTGAACACTAAATATACTTGTGCTGTGTGCCTGCTCAGCTCAATGAAAATTAACTTTATTTTAGCAGGAAAGATATTACTTCATGACTCTGGCTGTATGTTTTGGATAGTTATCATTCTGTAGAGTGAACATGAGACCGATCAGACGCCTCGCTGATGGAAAAGAATCAAAACACCTGTAGGGTATGAAAACTTCGGACGGTATTGTAAATGTCAACATCCGATGTAGCTTCAAATGTGACTGATATGTCAAGCATGATATACCTTGTTATATCAATGGAAAAAGAACACTGCGGCCAAATAGTTCAGCACTGTTATGTTATACAGAAATATTAGATTCAATATTAATAGAACAAACAATTCTATAGAATTATGTAATAATTTGAATGTGTCATATCAATTATTTTATTCCAAAGTACAGATGTGTCTAAAAAAAGTCAAAAAAAATGAGTAGAGAAATATAAATGCAGATCCTCTAAGACAGATTTTAATTGGTTTATTTAACATGAAAATTATGAAAACGTTATGGGCTTTACAGTCACCAGAACCTAGATAACCTAACACAATTATCAAACTGTCAACTTAGAAAATGACTTTTGAAAGAATAGTGTCTACCTCTCCTGTAGAGTTCAACTGACTTGTAAAATCTCTTGATGTACATTTAATGCATCTGTGTCTTGTGTTGTGATTTTTTTTTTTTTGTACCCATGATGTAATTTCAGGTTCATCTTGTCCACAGGAAGTTATTGCAGTCTCTTCCTGATAAAGGTAAAAGGATATCAGATTTTGCTGAGAAAGTACGTCTTGCCATTGAACACCGTAATGAAGAGGACAGGAGACAGAGCTTGGTGTCTGCTGCCAGGATGGAGTTACAGTCCAAGTACCAGCAGGCTTTCTCTCTGCAGAAATGTGTTATACCCAACACACCAGAGGCAGCACAGCAGAACAGACAAAGTGAAAATGCAGCAGGAAGTGTGGTACATGAGAGGGGGACCTCACCTGTCTCTGCTCACGTACAGGAAAAGACCACTTTGGACAAGCAGCAGGACCAGTTAGTCTCCAGAGCAGCTGCTGATGAAACCATGGAGACGGCTGCTTCTGGGGCCTCTCTGAACTCTGAAGAGACAAAAGAGGGTGACCTTGTGGAGGCCTTGGAAAGGGTCAGACTGTCTGAAACTAGTCCTGGTTTCAGTAGCAAGTCCAAAGAGAGAAACAATCCCTCTCTCAGAATGCAGACAGAAAGAAAGCCTCACTGTCTAACTCTCCTGGAAAGATCAGAGAAGACTTTGTCTCACAGGAGGCAGAAATTTAAAACAAATCAGTAAGTGGACTTTGTTGGATGATGTGATGATGAGGACTTTTGCAAACATTTATAACAAAAAATGATTGTGTCATTTTCATTCAGTAACAATGTGACATCGTTAGTTATTTGATTGTAAATAATTCTTTTTTTCAGGCTGCCAAACAGAAGTGACATGTCTCCATCAGGGTCCTCCTCACCCAGCCAGTCCTCTGAAGGCTTGTTGCTGCTCTCCGTTCAGGTCAGGAAGGAGAGAGACAGAAAACACTTGGACGACATCACTGCTGCCAAACTACCCCCACTCCACCACAAACCAGCTCAGCTTCTGTCTCTGGAAGAGTCGGCCGTGCTTTTGAAGGACCAAACCAAGAAGCATCAGGTTTGTGCAGCTCTGCGCTCCACACACTCCTCTTATGCATCAGTGTATACACTAAAATGTAGACATGATGACAGGGTCTGAAATTTCCACTTGAAACATATTTGTATTAGCAACTATTGCTACTTTACAATCAGACTAAACTAAAAACAGCCCTGTGCTAGCGTCAAATCAAAATAAACATTATCGCAAGGCACTGAACATAGTAAGGCCGAGACTGCAAGAGGCTGCCATAGTGCTCATGTGTTGCTTTAGATACTGATGAAACATGAAATTACTAACTTAACTTTGAGTTTCATTGTATTGAAAACTTATCAGACTGTAAAATATTGCATAATGTTTTGTATTCTGGTGAATCATGTTACTGCTGTCACTCACTCCACTTTTAATTATCTTTCAAGGTGATGATCAAGACGTGGAGAATAGAAATGTGGTGTTCATGTTATGAAGTAATAATCTAGTAATGATAATATTATAATAAGTAATGTTCACTCGCATGTAACTTGGTCACCACAGTGCTGGGTTGTGGTACAACAGCAGTTGAGCAAATTCAACCATTTTGTTGAAGGACCCTTCATTTCCTTTTTCTGCTGGAGCCACTTGCGTCAGCAACCCTGGGATGACCTCATTTAAATGAATGAGAGGGCTGTTTTTTCACACAGTGCTGAAGTAGCTCTGACCACAGCCTTCATTTTATAGACTTCCTTTGAAAATATAGCTTATTACATTTGTAAAAGAAATACATTGACCATTAAATGTTATTGAAGTGCATTCTATTTATTTTGGTACCTTCTTTAAAAAAGTAAATTACATGATTCCAATCATAGGATCATAATAGAAGTCATTAGGATCCATGAATTATTGTCTGAGAAATCAACAAAAATGTTTAAAGAAAGTTAAAAATAAATTGAAACCAAGTGTGAGGTCCCTCCTTAAGCTCAAGAGGGCAGTGTTCAGTCAGTGTAAGTAACGTGTGTCACATCACGT